TCACAAGTTCGAAATCGAAATTTCTTAAATATTTAACACAGAAAGTTAAAACAATGTTTCTCACTTGAATTTATACATAAGCTAACCAATACAATAGTTTAATTTACATTTTTTCTATTTATTTCACTATTTAAAACACTTTTAAATTTCTTATACAAAACTATCATTATTTCACTTATACACAGGAATTTTCACATGAAAATAACACAGAATTTACCTTTTTAGCACGTACAATTAACCTGAAATATTTTACAAGTAATTTTTACATAAATCACTGAATTACAAACATTTTAAATTTTTACATATTCGGCCTCCTAAGGGCGTGGCCAGCGTGCTTCTGTGTACTCACGCTATGTGAACAACTAACTTTGCACGGCTCTCGGCTATCAGAAAAAATTAAATTATGAAATACACCAATTTTGACCATATTAGGCAAATTAAATGCTTTTATACAATTTTCGAACTGTATGAAACTATCTTTAATCAGATAACAATATAAATGAATGTTCTCATTAATCAATCATAACAAATAGGCATTTGTTTTCGTACAAAACGTATCAAACTTATACAAAACAACATTTATGCAATTAATATCCATTAATTCTGCCTATGCACAGAGTGATTATCTCGACCGGGAAACAAATCCGATCTTTAAACTTCACTTTAATATTCTTATGAATTTACATCATTTGAAAGATGATTTCAACCGGGAAACAAATCCGGTAACATAATTTATATCTTAAATTCCTTACGAATTTATTAAGCGATATTACTTAGGAAAACAAACAAACTAGTCCGGCCTGGGAGTCGAACCCAAGACCTTCATATCATTAATTCGACATTTCTTAAAGATTTAACTAAGCATTCTCTTATCAGAGCGTCGTTGCTCGTGACTACCCCTTTTTTCATAGCAACGTCATCGGTTGATTTAATAAACTGAAACATTTTTATAGGCGCGTCGCCAACAACACTTAACGGCAAATATTTTTTATGTTATAACTTTTTTTATTTCTCTCCAAAATTCATTAAAGTTACCAGCATTTTAATGTCGCGCTAACACTTCCATTTTTATTTTGTCCTGATTATTTTGAACGTACTTAAGCGCGGCCTTAAACTCTACGCGAGGCAGCCATATTTTCGTAAAAATAGCCCGAAGATGGCCTACCATATTCATTTCACATCAAAAAACTTTCTCTGGCCTTGACATGGGTATGCCGGACGTGAAAATTCCACCCCACAATCCTTTGCCCTTTTATATCATTCATATAAAAGCTACGCTCAGCTGCTACTTGCAACACACTTACAATGTCACAATATAAATCGTCAATATATTTACAATGACACGATTTTTCACACGAATGTTTTACATACATACATTCCATGTTTACATTTTTATAATTACTCATTATATCATAAAGTTTTTCATCACAGATTTTTGAATACATTTTTCTTTGTTCAAGCTCCCTATGCCCCCATAAACCCCTTGCATTATTTTTTAGGTTCGACTCATAGTGAATTTCTTTAACTGTAATAAAACTAAGGTTACAATTAATAACTAGAGGTGCATGGTCCGACCAAAATGAGTCATACTTCACATATAGATCGGTTACCATCTTGGCTGCTGTAGCAGTAGCAATACAGTGATCAAGCCACCGACATGTGTCGTGCGCCTCACTCACAAATGTGTATGTGTTATAATCTAGTCTCTCTAAATCTATGCATGTTAATGACTGCTCACCACAATAGTCCACCAGCTCCTTACCAAAAAGAGTACCCGGATGCGCGTTAAAATCACCTAAGATCAAAACGCATTCAACCTCAGCACTCTCAATCACTGCACTTATATTAGCAAGACACTGAATAAACTCTGATAGGTTATCCTCACAATCAGTAGGCATATATACGCTAAATACAAGAAGGCTACGATCACCTTGATCTAATCGCATTGCCACTATCCGGTCATTATCACACTGCACGATTTCCGTTTTGGTAAATAGACTCGTACGCCATAGCAGCGCTGTCCCACCGTAGGGTCTCCCTTGCAGCACACCTACTGACGTATCCACAGAGGATTTAGCATAGTAACTAAATTCCTGCTTAATTTTATTCAAGAAATCCAAGTCATGTGGCATCAGCCATGTCTTTTGAAGAGACATGGCTGATGCCACATGACTCACAACAAATCACGAACGTGCCACATGACACATGACTCACAACAAATCACGAACGTGCTGTACAGACCTCTTAATTGATTTACAGTTAAACGAAACTAATCTTAAATTATTTTTATTTTTTGTATCCATAGTTATTTATTAGACACCACTGTATCGCCCTTAATAGAACGCTGGTTACGGTATCTTCGAAAGACTAAACCCTCTGGCCAAAAACTTTTTTGTAAGAAAATGTTAATTTTGGATGCTAGGACAGTTGTCTTGAAAGAATTAAAATGAGTTTCACGTGTCTGTTTAAACATTTCTATGTCAATACATTCTTCTTTAATTTCTTTTATATGGTCTCTAATATCATTTTCATTTATGTGTTTTATCGTACGTGAGAGATAGACATACGCAAATGATTCCGCAGCCTGTAATTTATTCGCGTTTTGTAAAGTAGCTCGCTCGTTTCTATACCTGTATACATGTCTCTTTTTAGTAACAATCGTAAAACCTTCGTCATCTTTTCGTTTACTTAATTCCGTGCGAATCGTGTTTGCTATATCTCTATAGGTAGGTACATAATGCGTGTCAGTATCACTAATAGGATTATTCTGTTTCTGCAATAACGTTACCGGCAACGGCGTATGCGCAAAAGAGAGAGAGCTCTTGCACGTACTTTCTCCCTCACTTGGTTTGTTTACGTCCGTTCGGGGCGTGTCGACATCAAGCTCAACGATACCCCCATTTAAATTGTTAGTATTCTCGTAACTATTATTTAACTTGTTTCTAATGTTCTTATCATTATGATAAGACCCAAGAAACAGATCGTCTTGTCGTTTACTGCTGCCATGGCGGACTTCGCGAAATTCCAACATAATTTTTTTGACATCATCAATCTCCTTCCGTATTAAATCAATATCCTCCGATAATTTTACTTCATTACTTATCACAGGTTGTTTAGCCTTCAAACAGGCTACGTCTCTCTTAAGTAAAGTCATTTCTTTAAGAAAAGTTGTCACATCGACGTGATCAAATGATACAGCCGGAAGTTTGTTTAATTTTTTTTGCTGCGAAGATTAGCAGGCAGTCAGGGTCAAACTCTTTTATAAGTTTTATGATATCTTGAATGCTTTTTTGCTCAGCCCCCTCCTTTCTTCTCATGTACTTCTTCGTATATGTAAATAAGCTTGCAAACTTATTTCCGCAGCATGTGCTATAAAAATTAGATGCCTTTTATGATTTGAAACAGCTAGATTAATTTTATATCTAATATATAAAAATTAGTCTATTTTTGTTCGTATTTTATGCGCTGCTATAACATTCATCAGATTGCGCTAAAACGTTGTCAACTTATTGCATGCACTTGCGCGGAGGTTATAAATTTATTTGAAAGTTATATCATCATTCAACTTTAACGAATGTATTATCATTCCTAATTAAACAATATAACTCTTCCAAATTTAAAACGATATTTCCACAATTATATCTTCTGTCGCAGCAATGCAATGGGTACCAGCTATAAATAGTATAAATACGATCTTGGTATGGGGTAATCCGACTGATATTAAAAATATCTTTGTTTTGCAGAAGAGAGCTATAAGAGCAATTACTAAACCATGTTCGAAGGAATCTTAGAATTAAAAAAAAGATATTTATTAGATATCGACTAAAACAAAAATAGTTTTATAAAAATAGTGATGCAATACTAGGAACAAGAACAAGCTAGTTATACCTGTTACTCGACTCCAAAAGTCAGTAATTCCTTTAAGGGGTAATGTAAACACTTTTACAACTTAGTTTCGGGAAATATACAGGACTTTGTATCACAAAATTTAAATTTTTTACTAAGTAAAATATTTCATTAAGGTTATTTATACCATTAAAGAGTTTATGATCGACGATAACCCCTGGGAATGAGGTAGTCGCTATCACGCTCTATCTAAATGTTTTCAGATTTTAATTGTATGTATACTTTATATTGTAAATAAACGTTTTAAAAAAGTAGCGTTGAGTGTTTTGCAGGTTCTTCTTATCACATTTTTTCCAAACCAGTGGTAAAATCATAAATGAATAAATAATCTTGTAATACATAATCAATTAAAAATAATCTTTTCTATTCCGATCTTACATACAGACTAAAGGATGACCCACACGAGTCGGGTCCGAGCAGAGTGTCGGCCGTAGCACGGTCACCGAGCCGGTCCCGTACCTGAAATTACAAAGACGGGTCGACCGTGCAATTACCGTTGCGCCGTGATGCAGTATACTCGTCCGAGCAAAAATAGTGTTGTAACTAGACTACAATCATGTTGAAGTTTGACGATCTGGAATTAACGGCTATTGCGATCGCTCTGGACGATGAAAAATCTGATAAATCTTCAAATAAAAGCCGGGACCGAGTTATTGCTGAGCGTTGTCTGTTACTCGGCCGTCACTCGGTTGCCGTATAGCGTGAGTGTGTCCATACAAAATATATGTAATATTAGTTGACCGTCCTACAGCCGACACTCGGCTCGGACCCGACACGGTCTAGGTCTAGCGTGAGTCAACCTTTATTCTGTTCTGATTTGACAACTGTCTATATATAAACTGCTCATTCAGCCATTTCGCTGTTAGTAGTACTATTATTTATTCTGTGCTGTTAGATTAAAATTTATCGCTATCGTACATCTACTCATTGTATTGTAATTACTAATTCGAATATTTATTACTCCTATTTTATTTTTACTGCACAGTTTTATCGTCCAATTTGTTAATATACTGGCTGAGAGTACAAACCACTTCAAACTATTAACTTTATTTTATTTTATTATATGATATTTGAAAATTCTTGAAAATCTAAGTTCAGGGCCCATTTTGTGTTTTGGTGATGACTTCCTTGCCCCTGGCGATCGCCTCAGCTTTGATGACAGCCGAGCTGGAAGCGTTCGCTGTGGCAGTGGCAACCCCTGTGTCGTATGCGTGTGCTATGGCATCGGCAGTTGCAGAGTCATAAGTGTTAACTGTGGCGGTAGCGTCTCCTGCATCGTATGAATGCGCTGTGGCGGTGGCAATTGATGAGCCGGAAGCAAGTGCCGTAGCAGTCGACGTTCCTGTACCATGGGTCAAGGCTGTTGCAGTGGCGACTGCTGTACCCGAGGCTATTGCTGTAGCAGTATGCGGCCCCGAGCCCGGACCTCCCATGACAACGGTGGTGATCGCTGGGCTAGAGCCGACTGCTTTGACGGTAACGCCTATCTCCCCATTTTTTAACGCTGTAATGAAGGTTTCTTTTAGGAAAATAACTATCATTTCACAAGAAAGGAGGACATGTCTCAGAGATTCAGTTAATAGAATAAGAGATAAAATTAAGGTCTCTAGTTAGGGCATGCTTACAACTTTTACAAGACCTGGCCTTTCGAGACTTGGTACTGAACACGGATTACAATTGGTCGTTTCTAAATTTTACCAATGTATTACTCAATAAGCTAAAAACTTCCCGCCTAAGTCGCATGGGCTGTTGCGACGAGATGTGCTGGCCACATTCACCTACATATATTTTCAATTACAAATCAAAACTTAGATACTTATGTTTAAAGATTGAGATGGTATGCCTTGTAACATGTACAAAGGTCTCCGGTACTTATGTATAAAGATTGAGATGGTATGCCTTGTAACATGTACAAAGGTCTCCGGTTCTCGTTATTTACCGTTCGAAACAGCTTCCGGTATTTCGCTGATATTCTTGGTCCTCTAACCACGTCGGTTATAGCGGTGTAAAAATATCCACTACTCCATATCATCCCGTGGGTGTCGTAAGTTCGGAGTATAATGGAGAAACTGGAGCAAGAGATATGCAGCAGCAGTTTCTACATGATGTTCTACATGAACAGTTGAATGAAATAAAAACTGCCGTTGCTAATCCGCTTGCTGTGGGGGAGGCTTATGTTCCGCAGTGATTTTTTGATAGGCTCAAACGATTATAGCTTGGTCCTCTAAGGTTCCCAGCCTACCTTTCGTGCTGCAGCCATAAGTCAACCGCAGCGTAGCTCTACTATATATATCTATCTATCTATATATATATATATATATATATATATATATATATATATATATATATATATATATATATATATATATATATATATATAGTTCATTTCAAATAGCATGGCAGGATTGTACTTGAGCGGTCATTAGGCGATAACAAAAGAAGTGGTATTTACAACCGATACCTGGGAAGACCTTATCCTGACGTGGTATTTTTGTGGCAGCAAACAAGTTTTGATGCTTTTGTTAAATACACGATGACATTGTTGTCAAAAATTCAGTCGTCTTGTAACTTCGTTATTACACAGACGTACAAATAAACATGTTTCGACCATGGGAAATATCAAATAGTGCATCTACAAGTGATGAAAATAGTGTTCAGCGTAGAAAAAGACAGTTAAGTTCAGACGCTCAAGACATAGTTTTGAGTGTTTACAATAAGCTTTTGAAACGCATGGGTGATAAGGGAGTGATTAAAGAGATTTTGAAAAAAAAATATGTGGTCGATGAATTAGCACAAGAGGCTGGTCATGAGATAATGAGACTCCCACCTTATTATTGTATATTGAACCCAATTGAGTTAATGTGGAGTCAAATAAAAAAAACTGTCCGTAAGTCAAACGTTACGCCTACAATAGGGGAAAATGTAATCCAAAGTGTACGACACGTAATAAATTTAACAAATCCCATTTTTTGGAAGAATGTTTGTGACTATGTCATAAGAGTGGAAAACGAATTTTCGAGGGATCGGATTTTTCCTGTTAGCTTATATTATGATTTACAATAGTAAAATACACAAACTAAGAAGAAGTTTAAATGTAAATAATTAACTAAGAATTAATAATGTGGCACAACTATTACTACTACTGGCAGTTATGATATCGATATAGCGGTGTTAAAAACCAAAGCCGATTTTATTTTTTAACAAGGAGATCCATCATTGCCATTTTTGCCATCAGGCAGACGATGACGATAGTATACCAAGTCTCAAGGCACCATCGGAGCACTTGTTTCAAATAGCCGTGTAGTAGCGTTTATCGATTTTTCGATACAACCATTTATAATAAATACGTGTTTATCGATACAACCATTTATAATAAATACGTGTGAGGACACAGATACCGATGAATGTTCTTCAGAGTGATTGATTAAACAAAATATTAACAAATTGTTATAAGTATTTAAAATAGTTAATTTAAAAGTAATAAAGGTTTTTTATCTACAATTTAATTTGTTTTAATGTTCAAGTACCAAAATTCGTCATTCCAGCTATACTGGTTCAGTATTATCAACAGATGCTTAACTTCAAGTGTTAAAGCAATAAAATAATCACACAACAATAGATTAACATTACAGCTGTAATTGCTAAGTCTCAAGTGGAATCCTGCCATCCTATTTGAAATGAACTATATATATATATATATATATATATATATATATATATATATATATATATATATATATATATATATATAGCTACAACCATAATATAGCTGCAGCATGATTCTACCACGTTTAAAAATCATGTGTATATGCAATCCAACTTTAACTATAGCAAGTCCTGCAAATATATCCAGAAACTATTTGGTTTTGGTTGGATTATTTGGTGCTTACAACGTTAAAATTACCTAAAGGAGCTGCGGAGACTTTCTCCAAGGACGGAAATCCTTTTCCTCTAGCCATAACTATCATTCTGAAATCTTCATGCACAGGAATAAAATTTGCTGTTTTGCCTCCGGAACTATTCATAATTTCCTTGGGGACTATTCTTCTACCATCACTCAGTAACATTGCTCCACTTTCCATTAAATTGTTCAAACTGCTTGTCACATTAGTTGGAGCTTCGGCTACTTCTTCTACAACCAACACATAGCCATATTTCACTGCTTTCACCAATGGTGAATTCTCGCTTGTGACAGTTCCATTTTTGTCAGTTGGCTGTTCAGTCAAAGACTCTATCGTTGTGTTTGCATCCAATTGTATATATTCCGAAGGGCGATCCAAATGCTGTAAAAGTTTTTCCACAGTTTTCTTATTTTCCGATCCCTCTTTCTCAACTAGCAATATATGTTTGCCTTCTTGAATATCTTTCAACAACACCTCCATTACTATTTATGTTACTGTATGTCACTGAATAATATATCAAATAAGTCGTGCAAAGCTTCAGATCAAGACACGTTTACACTCGTTCTGCTATTTGTTGATGTTATTTTTCTGGTATGACTGGGGACTACGAGTATGGTGCCGTGCTGAAATGAAAATGTATGTCATCTTGATTTTAAGTAAGAATCTTAAAGAATATATTAATAACTTATATGTGAATATTATTATCTCAGCTTAAGTTTATACATTTCTAAATTCGTAAACCAAATAAAAAAATACAAAAAATGGCAGAAAACTTTAATAATTTCATTTTACTAAGTGTCACTTTAGGCGATAAAATCGTCTGTTTTTTATTATTACTATTGTGTAACCACAATATTATTTTATTTTCAATAAGTAAGGGTTTCCAGTAAGGGGTTTCAGTAAGGGCTTGCCCCATTCATGCAGTGCAATTAGTCATTTTCTCGTATCCATAACTACTTTGGAAATCTGCCACGCTAGGCAGGCGAATTAGTGAGTACAGAGTCAGTACCCTCGTACTAACAAGTAACATGTTCTGTCGCAAATATCACCAGTCTGGAATTTGTTTTTTTTTATAAAAATGTGACAAACGAGCACACAGTCTACCTGATGGTAAATGGATGCTGTGGTCCATAGACGGTACACCTATATATATATATATATATATATATATATATATATATATATATATATAGCTCTTTACACTCACCATTCAAAACACAGCATACCGACGCGACGTAGTGAAAACCGGGCGCTCAAACAAATGCGACTACGCCTACCTGACAGAGCCAGAGCACTTGTCTGTTTTTATAAAAATAAAATTGTGCCAGTTGTTGCTGCCATTACGTATATTTCCATCTTTCGGAAGTTATGAAATATTTTTGGATTTTGTGTAATCATATTGGAGTGCTTGGTGCTTCTACTTTGTTGGTCAAGATCATGGGTGGGTGGATCCTGAGTTCGAATTACTGCTAAACGCAGCATTTATCCCTGGAACACAACTTATTGGCTTGGATTTAGTTTGTGTTGGCAAATGTAGAGTCAATAATATTTTATTACATTAGTACTAGTATTATTCCAAGCTCTTACTCAATTTTTACATATCTTAAGATATAAAAAGATTGATTACCTGCCGGGTTAACCGTTGCTGTCCACTATAGGATGAAGGTGGTTTGACAAGTGTTAGTAATCTACAACAAAATTTACATGATCTTTAATTATTAATCACCTTATATAACTATTTATTATTTTAACACTAAAATCACAATCTGCAAATTTTCGAATACAATTATTTTGGACAAGTTTCTTAGTTAGAAATTGAAGTTACATTGAACGGCAATCCGATTGTTTCTTTTTTTATAGAATAATGAATAATTTTATGAGATATCTTGAATAAATAATGCAGGCGCCCAAAGCAGTCCCCTGTATTTGTTTAAGAATAAGGGTGACAAACGAGCACACAGTCCACCTGATGGTAAGTAAATGCTGTCAAAATGAATCAAATCCCAGATGCGTTGTCACCCCTGAGGACTAAGATGGAATGCCTCGTTTCCAGTGATAAAGTATCTCTGGATATCTACACTCACAATACGAAACACAGCAGTAACCTTTTGAGCGCCAAAGTCGCCTATACTTGACCAGCACCTGCGAGCTCTGAGCGCCAACGACGTATAGTTGACAAAAAACCCAGCCCACAAAAATATGAAATATAGATATTGGAAAATTATTACTGGTATTTTAATTCTACACTCCTCAAAAAAGAATAACTGAGCAGCATGTGAGTATAAAAAACAAGTCTCCTAGAGCCACAAGTACTAAGAAAAAAAATGATTTTTATCTAAAATACTTGTACGTTTATGTTTAACCGCTAGTGTTGTAATGCGTTAGGCATAGATTTATTGAAAACTATTCAAAATTAAAAGCAAACGTGTTATTTTTTAAATTATTATTGATATTTGAATAAAACAAAAGGTAAGAAACATAAAACTACATAAATAAAAGAAAATTTCATTAAATCAACTTCGCATAATAAATCTAATATCTCAAGTCTGGCGCATCCTTAGCGCGTCATCGATTATCAGTTCATTAGGCGCCGTGGTCAAGGATAGACACCCTGATGACGTCATAAACGAATAGCGGAAAAAGTAGTGCAGTGCAACATGAACGATTCCTCGGAACTCATTCGCATTTTGGAAATCGTCGATGATGATGATTTTTTTTTATTTTAATAATATAAAATTACAAATAATAAATGTTTATTTTTTTCTTAAGGTATGAAGAGCAATTTTACATTTTGTGTTGTGCGATTTTCTTTCTCAATCTAGGGTATTGACTGAAACCTCTATTGTATTTGCTGATGACATTTCCATTCTTATTCCGCATACAAAAGACCAGAATTTTAATAATAAATTGAATCAAGTATTGAACCAGGTTACAAATTGGCTGACACATCACAACCTAGAGATTAATTTTAATAAAACCGATTACAACATTATTTTTACCCAAATTAAAGTTATATTTAATTGAAAAATGTTTCTATAATTTAAATGAATATTTTGATACAAATATTATTTAATTTGTGTGGACAACTTCGGCCTGTGCCTATATAATTTAATTTAATTTTTTTATTCCATTATTATTTTTTACTTAATTTTATTTTTATTTATAATAATTTTTATTTTTACTTGACATTGTGATTATTAATTTAATTTAATTTACAGAATTTTAAAATAATATAATCTAATAATGTAATTTATTAATGAAATCTAATATTGTAGTTTAAAAATAATATTTAATATTTTTATTTTATTTTGCTACGCCCAAACTGGGTTCAAATGCGGACAATTTTTTTAAACACATCACATCTATTGTTTACCATTTGATTGCAATAAAGATTATGGTTATGATTATCTCAAAATCATCTGGTAGCATCAGCATCATATCAAACCCCCATTGTCATAAGAACGTAAGACTTTTCTTCTGTGCTTTACTTGGCCTACGCCTCCCTCGACACATAAAATATTTTGAGTCGATCTCTGTATATTTTGGTTAGATCGATTTTGAAATCGATACACAACGAGCAACACGGCTACATCTCTAAGAAAGTTTCGAAAGCAAGGTCAGCTACGCCGTTGTCGTCCAGTCGTGACAGTGACGTCATCACGATGAAGAGTAGTGTTGTGGTTTACTACTATTTTATTGTTATTGTTTGTTTTTATTTAGCAAGTTTTTTTTGTACAAAGTACATATATAAAAAGAGTGGAAGACAGCACAAGATTAAATAAAACATACCAGATTATAGAGAGTCATTTATTGCGTAAAAAACCAGCAAAATCAAGTTATTTTGTGTTATCGATATATCAACTCTTGGCAACACTAGTTTTTTCGTAGGTATTTTTGTTTAATTTTCGCTTTGGCGTACAGGACACGGTAGTGCGTTTATGGCGTGGCGCTCGTAAGCTACTATTTTACACTGGTATTATGTGAGAGCGTGCATAGTCCTTCCCCGGTCGAACCGACTCATTCATGCTACAACTATAATATAGCTACAGCGTGGCTCTACCACGTATTAGATTCTAACTATTTAAATAATATGTGCTCCAGACCGAATTTCGGCCACGGCAGCCTGCCTCAACGGAGGCTTGCCAACGGCGCAGGACAGGATTATAGTGCCCAAGTGTATGCGCAAGCACAGGTGCACTCTCTATTCCCTCACTCTCATAATCCGATGGGAAGGTAAACGGACACGACCAGAGAGAGATCAGGCGCAGGACCAATGGCTTTACGTGCTTTCCGAGACACGGGGGTGAGACACCGCCAACTTCCTGACTCCGAGCAGCTACTGAGAATTTTTTGACAGAGAAACTCAATAATTGATTTTTTTCTGGCCCAGCCCGGGATTCGAACCCAGGACCTCATGATCAGCAGTCGCACTACTACAACCACTAGACCAACGAGACAGTCATCATGTAATTCATAATACATTGAAAACGCGATTGCTGATCATGAGGAGGATCATGAGGGGTTCTAATCCCGGGTCGGGCTAAAATCAGTTATTGGGTTTATCCGTCAAGAAATTCTCAGTAGCAGCTCGGACTAAGGTATTTGGCGGTATTTCGTTCACCCTCGTGTTTTGGAAAGCACGTAAAACCGTTGGTTCTGCACCTGATCTCTCTCCGGTCATGTCGAATTACCGTCCCATTGGACTATGATAGTGAACCTGTGGTAGCAATAGAGAGTGTACCTGTGCTTGCACTTCGACTATAATCCTGTCATGCGCCGATGGCTAGTGTCTATTGAGACTGGCCGCCGTGACTGAAATTCGGTCTGGAGAATATTATTGTTATTATTGTCGGTCGTTTAAATGCATGCAAATAACTTGATAAATTACAGTCTCGCTATAAAATATTGTGTTCGGTGCATGCGAGGACACCCTCTGTATCGTACAGTTTCATCCTTAGAGTAACAATAGTACTGCTGTTACTCTAAGGTTTCATCATACTTTTTTTTGTTTTTTATAGGATAGGGTGACAAACGAGCACACAGTCCACCTGATAGTAAGTGGTTGCTATGGCCTATAAATCTATCCTCGATTACAAATCAAAATGCAGATGTTTTGTCACCCGTGGGAACTAAAATGGAATGCCTCGTTTCCAGTAATATCGGTGTCGTCTCCGGTTCTCTACTTTTAAGATAACCTTATATACACTTTAAATCGTTTATTTAAACGTAAAATATTTATGGAGAAAAAAGTTTGAAATAAATTACTGTTTTCCGAACCTGTTAACAATGCTTTATTGTAAATGTTATTTTCGAAACAAGCTAATAAGGATGGTCAAGTTATAACTTATAATGTCACAATTAAATTCAGGAACCTCGATCGGAGGGAGTCTGGCAGCCCTGTTTAGTGTAGCTGACTTATTTGATTTATGATTATTATGACAATTTCAATTACAATGGGTGCGTTTGGCAGAAAAAAGCGC